GGAATTTTACTGATTGATTTTAAATTTATAAAAGAATGTTATTAAACATTATGACAAAAATTAATAGGAATAGTGAGAACGTAGTTCGTAAGCACGTTGCTTTTCTAAGAATCCTATTATGCCGACTTACCACTCCTCGCATACTAGTGAGAAACGCTTTCTTTGAACGACCTGCTACTCTTTTTGCAACTGCTAAAGCGTAAGAGCCCGACCAATGATCTGAACATCGCCACCAATAACACGTTTTTTCATTAATTAATTTATTTGGTGTGGGGTTAGTTCTCTGATGTTCGCTAATTCTGTCGCAATGACGGGTGTGGGAGGAAGGGCGGTGCGCGGGCCGTGGCCGATTAAGACACCGCTCGCGCTTCTTGGGAATTCTTCGCAGATTGGATCTCGCAGCGGGCACAGCTCCCTTCCTGTGTCGAAACTCGGCCTGCGTTGGAAATCTGTAACCGTCGGGGCTCCAACATGCAACCTCCCGATCCACGCAGCTTCAGTAGCGAGCTGTCAAATGCGAACAGCGTTTTTTAATCCCGTCATCCACTTGCGCATGCGCGTCCGTTCATCCACTTGCGCATGCGCTTTTCGTATTCAGGTCGGGAATTCGCATTCACTCTTTAGCCCTGTGGTTGATCCGGTAGGACCCTTTGTCCCGGAACCACTGATTAGGCATTTGCTGTATCTGATCCCCGGAATACTTTTCGCCACTTGGACCATTCGTCACCGAAATGTATGACCAGACACGTCCCTCTCCGACCGAATCACACGCCTATCTAATCATACTGCAGGTGAACCAGTCCGGCGAACCAGTCCGGTGAACCGTTTAACAGATCCAACACAAAAACAGCTCCTGCGGAGTGACGAAGCAACATTTCGCCAATTGAAATCTGTGCATACAATTAAACACTTGGGTGTGGAGACTGTGGGCCGTTCTTTGCTGTCATTGCGTTGAAGCACGCGTCACAGTAGTCATCCTTCACATATTCAATCCCTAATTAGGGAGATTATTTCATAAATGACATATCACTATTTCCGTTTGTTTTCTAGCTTTACGTATATTTTTATGCAGCTTACTCGTCATGCCACAAAATATAATGTTCAAGATGACATTTCTTTTATTTTCAACGGTATCCGTCAACAGTTTTCGACTATAAGGATGAGTGTGAATAATTTCTCTTTCTGAGAAACTGGAGACACGTCACTCGAAAATATGCTCTTCAATCCTTAGTTCGTCGCTCCGACACGGCAGGAGCCCTCCGCGCGTAACAGAGCGTGAAGTGCTTTCTTTGCACTTTCGAATTTTCCAGCGCTCTTTTTCTCGTCGTATCATTTCAACACTTAAGGTTGATACTGCTCCCAAGGATTCAATAACTGTTTATATTTTACCCACGCCTCTTTCCAGTGTGCTCGCGCAACGTCGTTAGTCCCCGGGCTGCCGTTTAAGCGCTAGTTTACAAAACGTCGCCCCGGCTCGGCTGTGGCAACGCGGGAGGTTGTGGGAGATCCCTTACAAGGCAGGCGAAAGGGCCGCGCTCGGCTGCCCGTGCGACCGCCGCGCCCCTGGCGGCGTCAGCGGTTGCGCCACCGCCCTCGCCCCGCCCCGAGTTGCACACGACGGGCGGCGTACGTGGCGACGGGGCCTGGGACACTCACACTCTCGGACCTGCAGCGCCGAAGGGAGGGCTCTCAGCAGCCACCGATGCCACTGCAGCGCCTCTGGCGGGAACAGCGAGCTCAAGTTCAGTTACTGTCTGGAGGAGAATTCGGTCGGTCCGCTGCTCTGATCGACAGTTTTCCAGGCGAATGCCGCTACGCGGCCTTTCCTTCCTCTACCTTGTCCTAGCCTCACTCTCACTTACACACGCTACAATACCACACGTACCTCGAGATCGTCGCGAGCTTGGAGGCTGCCCCAGTCGGAGCGGGGAACCGCTGGTGGGAGATACCTGGAGTCGGTGAACCGCAAGCCCACGCTCCAATGAGGAGGACCTCCACTACCTCCTGGCTGAATAACATGCACTACACCTGCGGACAAACAGTTGACGCGGCCAGGCATACGAAATAGTTAGTTACTCCAATTCCTGTTTTATGCGCCTCAAACAGGTCTAACCGTGGAAATACCAAGGTTTAACAAGGGAGGGGCCTCTGAAACATCCACTTAAATTTTGGTTTTGTTAATGTCGTTGACGATAAATTAAAAAAAGGTATTATTACTTCAAATGTGCATTCACTTAAATAAAGAAACATTCGTTGAGTCACTGTGCATGTGAAATAATATAGACTTTATCGCATTATTATTTACAACATCATTATACACAACATAACGTATTTTACGAGTATTCATCTCATCATCAATATCGATGGATTTTAGCTTTTTAAAAAATTGAGACCTACAAAACCAATCAGAGCCCCTCCCCTCCTCTTCGTAATGTCAGTGTCAAAAGACGCAAAGATTTATTCCTGTCAAAGAGGAATTTAATGCTTAATTAATATATTATTAAATCCCTTAAAATTCTCAAAAAATGAAGCATCGAGGGCGTATAATTTAAACCAAAACCAAGTTTTTGTGCGTTCTCTTAGAATATTCGGGAAGGCCCCGGAAATAGTTCCCCGGCAGTTGGCGGAGTCGCCATGAAATAGATCCCACTTGCCCCCGAGTGTGACCGTGGGTGCACAGACACACGAGGGTTGCGAAAGCATTGCATTTGTGTGCAATCAGGACATAGTATTCAGAGCAAATAACGCCCATGTGAAGCAAACTTTCAATACCCCTTACTTCGCGTCATATGCAAAATCAGTAAATACAAGGTATGAATTGAGACTTGTTAGCAAACGTAAGAGTTTACTGCCGTAGTTAGTATATTTGTTTAGTATATGTACAAACCAGATATCAATAACGACTCGAAAATGCTGCGAATCAATAAGAACAGGTCCACTGCGACCCAGAATTTCGAAGGAACGTTCGAAGATTTCATTATAATAAGAGTGCGTTGATACGTAGAATGTTGGTAACGCACGTGGCCGCTTTTTCTGCCCTATTTGGCGCAGCCGGACTGGATCTCCGCGGGCAGGGGGGGGGGGAGCGTGGAAGTGTAAAACAGCGTTAACGAGCAGCTCTCGAGGCGTGAGCGGGAGGGGGAGGGGGAGTGCGTCTTCACTCTCTCGACCCACAATTCCATCGGCAATCCACCGGCGGGCTACCCAGCGGAATCCGGGATTGCGCCCAAACTGGGGAAAACTTCTCTCTCCTAATCTAATCTATCTTGTTTCATTTTATTGTTTTAAAGTTCTGTTCCTTTTTCTCGTAACGGTATTCTATAAACCCTTCGCTGGCGTAGCAGCCTATTCTCCTTTCATTTGGTCAGTCATCGTCAGTCGCCTCTTGTCCCTTCGGCCAGGGGCTCGGCGCCCTTAGATCCACGGGGTTCCCAGACGGACACCCATCTAGATCCCTCGGAGTCTCGAATTGCGAAACTTCATAGTTCACGGAGCGGAGTGAAGCAATGCGGTGAACTTCACCGGTTATTCGCACCGTCATCCCTTTTTCCTAAGTGAGGGAACACTAGAGATGGACAACTACGTGTGTGCTCACTCGTTTCTCGTAAAAATGTTCTGATCTCTATGGTACTTGGAGAAATTATAGTGTCAACTCGCATTATTTTCAATTTCTACTATCACTTATACATCCATAAAATGAAAGAAGTTATCGCTATTATCATTCGACAGCCTCGATGAAATATTGTCATTTCAGTACTGTGTTTAATTAATTTATTGTTTACTGTACACTATTACAGTAATTTAAAATAAGTTTTTATATTTAACTTAAATTGTATTAATTTTGGCGTTCATTTCTAGTGCCAAGTAAATTAGTCGCGCGCGGTCCGTTTCTTAGCGTACTTCTCCGGCATTCGCCTGGAATTGATCGAAGAAAAGCACGGAAAACTCCCAATCAGAGCAGTCGGTCGTTAGAAGGCTCCTCCAGACAGCGTGTGCGAGCTCACAAGCTAGTGTCGAGACTCCTGCCATCGTGGAGAGTGTAGCCCGAGGCCGTCCAGCGACATCAGTTGATGCCCTGAGCCACCTCTCCCGGTTTGAAGCGCTATGCGACTATAATTTAGCCAGATAATAACACTTCGTCGAAAAACGTTGCAACTCAAAGTGACGAGATAGCTCCAACAAAGACGGGCGCGAAGTCCTCGACCAGAAGCGAACCGAATCAGCGCGGCGATGGGTTCCATCGAATCGAGGAGCCGTGAAAAGCCGCCCAAGTGGGGACGTCGTGTGTTCGTCGGCAAGAAGAGAAGCGCGAGAAGAGATGGCGGAACAGGAAGAGCGAGAGTGCACTTGACCCACAATTCCGCGCGCGGGCGACTGCAGCGCTGCTTCCGGCGGCCGGAGAAACCTGGCTCCGCGGGAGGGCGAAGTGCGGCAGGCCCCGCCTCGCGGAACGGGGCGCGAGAAGTGACTGCACGCGGCCGCACCGACACTCGTCGACTCTTTGACAGACACTTATTCCCGGAAAGGAACACGCCGAAGTAACATGTTGCACGTAGCAATTTTAAGTGTTTGTTTTCGAAACTCTCGGAATCTCCATCTCGCTGTATTGGAACTGAAAATGTGTTTCGATATATTTGCAAAATGTTGTGAAATGTTTTGGAATTTGATTTATTATTAATTCAGGTGTACCACTGAATTTGTTCCAAAACTTATAACCAGGTATAAGAAATTAATATATTTCGTAGCACAGTGAGTCTCCTGGTCCACCTGGTTTTGTACTGGTCAAATCGGTTACGATTTAAGTCCTTATTCCGAGAAGAGTAGCATTGCTTGTTCACGTAAAAAGCAGAAATGAAAGAAGATTGTAATAATAATAATAATATAATAATGATAATTACAATAATAATAGAATAATGACAATAATAATAATAATAATAATAATAATAGTAATAATAATAATAATAATAATAATAATAATAATAATAATAATAAAGAACTAGATAACAATGATAATGAACGAGAAAAAGATGAAGAAGAAGAAGAAGAAGAACAGGAAACAGGTGTCTGCGTTCCCAAAGACCGTTGTGCATAAAAGTATCTTATGCTGATCGAACATTCCCTAGCTCCTGCCCTCATCAACGAACAATGAATGCTATTTAAATTGATGGATTTCATTTGCATTTTTGTCAATCTACTCCTTCAATAGACTGCCAATGGCGGCAAAGCCATCTAAAGCCAGCTCCCATTAATGAATGGCCGACGATGCCATCTTCCCTTCCGTGTCCGCACACGGGCTGAGGCGGTCGTTAAGCGGAGCTCGAGGGGGCGTGTCGAGAGGAAAGTCGCTCTCCAACCTCTCTTTTGGACTTCCGGCGGCGGCAGAGGCTGCCCAACGCGACCAACACATGTTCGGGCGCGGAAAAAACAAGCGAGCACGAACAAAACAAGCACATCCGGAAAAAATGAGCTTCGCGGTCAGTTCCTAAGTGGCCCCGGCTGTTGGCCGGGAAGGACCGGTTCTCGTTTGGCGGCGTCGAGATAGTGTCTGTGTCGGAGCTTGTTCGAAATTGGCACGTATTTTTTCGTGTCACGTTTTTTACGTCAATCGCTTATCGAGAGATGTAGAACTCGCGGTTTTACATTTGTTTTGATTGTTGTGTTGGTAGTTGCTTGTTTAATTGTTGAATGTGAGGTTGGTTGATTGTTGGGTTGATCTCACGGTTTAATTTGATCGGTCATCCAAAAACATTTTCTTAATTTCTCTGTTTGCTATTGCTACCTTCTAGCGTTTACCGATATGTGCTAACTTCAGTACTTCCTCCAGTTATCAAGAATTTGATCGTAGTGTATCAGAATATAACGGCCAAAATAACGTCTTAATTGTTGGACAGAATTTTTGTCTTTCCTTAGCTTTACTTCGTCGTTAATACTTTTATGTTTCAATGTTAATCACGAAGCGTTTCGCTTTTGCAGAAGATTAATCCATGAAGAGCTTATATTTATGTACGAATTGCTGTGACATATTTACAAAATAATATTTTTATTTACATTTTATTGTTTTTATAAATTTAAGAAAACAGTTCCTCGTGGTTTCTTAAATATTCCTGAAATTAAACTTTATGAATTTAATGAATTAACGCAACATATTCATTGACAATCAATACCGTCGGACTCCTACCGTTGGCTGCCTACAGCTTCTAAAGTCCTCCATGTATCATCTTTAATTGAGAATTAATTTAACTTATAAATTGCCTTGGTACTAAAAGCTCTAACTTATGAAGACAATTTAGTTTAAATTATTTCGGTCCTTTGATCACAGACCTTTCGCGTGTTTTAAAATTTCTATTCTGATATTTTAAAAAATCGTTTTCCATAAATGAAATTTTTGAAGCTTAAAAATAATTATTGTAATGCCAATTATTGTAGTATTGGTTTGTATCCGAAAACACTATTAAGTTAAGATACACCGAGATAAGAACGAATCGAAACTTTGTTTAAGGCGTTTCGTATTGTTCCTTAAGTTGTTTATACGCGAAGGAAATAAATTAGTTTAGAAGATAGCACAGATAAAAATTACAAACAGGAATTATTTTATTAAAAAGTATGTTCGTTAAATTAAAAATAACCCCAATAAAAAATGTACTTGAATCCCTCATATTCCTTAAACGGTCCTGAATCCGTCTCATAGAATTGGAACACACTAAACTAAAAAAGCACCGAAACTCGGAAGTTAGTCACGTACACTGTCGCTGTGAAGTAACTCGTTATGATAATTTTTCCACCGCATTCCTCTTGGCCGTGTTGCGTGATGTTGTTTTTTTCGGTTGAGATACGCAGTCTAGCAGCACAGCAAATACAGCAGTTCCGCGCTCCCCACCGCGACGTATGCAAATGCAATTATCTCACAGCTGCAGCCTGCGCGACTGCGCGACTGCTGCTAGCATTACCACACTTGCGGTAATAAGGATACGCTTCTAGGCACTTTCTAGATCTTGTTTGGATAGTGCATTCCACGAGCCCCGAGTCGTAAGGACTGGAAAACGCAGAACAGCTATCCAGTGCTAGTGCATATTCCTTAACAAGGAGGAAAGTAACCGATTGCACAAACTAATTGAAACGAAACACATCTACAAATGAGTTTACAGGCGTCACCTTGCGATGCGATGAGAGAAAGAGAGGTCGGCCGGTTCGATTTGTGCCTTCACAAGTGCTTTCGCTTACCCGCGTTGTGATATCATTAACATTAGTTGCAATTTTAATGTTTACAAAGTGCGCTATCCTCTTTTCGCGACGGCGGCGTGGTGGCTGACGCTCCAGCGAACGAATCGTGGCCTTCCTCACAGCGGTACTTGCAAAGACGCGACTCGTCCCGGAAGGCCAAGATCTTTTTTTTTTTTTTTCGAAAACTCTTTCTTTTGAAGGTGATAATAAGGAAAGCGCTGTGCGGGCGATGTCTATCTGAAGAGCCTGTGAATCCGAAGGAGGCGTTGCGCAAGAGGGCTCGTCGCTGGGATCACGGCCGAGGCCTCGCACGGAAGCCCCGGAAGCTACTTCCGGCGATGGGCCTGGGAGCCTGGGGGCTCACCCCCCCCTGGAGTCACCCTCAAACCCACATGCTTTCTTCTCCGACGTTTCACTAACTTAACAGTTGCATGGCAGTGTGGACAACGTAGCATTAAGCGTGTTTTTTTTCTTCCTGTTTTTTTCTGGTCTTTGTTTAGGTAAGGAGTTGTTTTCTTTTCTAGAGACTTTTTTCTCGAACGTTTCGTGATAATAAAGACGTAACCGTCATCTCGTTCCCGTAGATATGAATATCCCTTAAGAAGAACCTGCCTGAATTCCATAATTTTGCGAACCGTATGTTCATATGCAGGTTAACGTTGTCCAGTATTGTGCACGATGTCCAGTATTTGCCTCGAAAACGCACCCCCTGCACGTCTATCAAATTATTCAAATGAACTGTATTATAGAAATGCGTTTGTCGATGGCATATAATGGTTGGTTTGAAATAGTAATTTGATTAAAATCAGTTTATACTACATCTTAATGTTTCTGTTGAAAACGCGTGTAGCTTTCGTACTTTTCATATCGTCATACGAAGTACTTTCAATGCAACTTTCGTCCTTGTTGGGTCACGAAGCAGCCAAAAAGAACAAAACCCGTGGAACGTTGGCTTCGGAGAGGGAAAGTAAGGAAGTGGAGACTGCGTACGTGACTATTCTGCAAGAGAACGACATGCCTCCTGATTTATTTAAGGTGTTGTTTTGGTTTCCAAGTGTTATTCAAATTCCTTTACGGTAATGTTTTCTTCTTCATTGTGATTTCTCTTCAAACATGTAAATTACCTAACGCTGCTTCTCTGACGTCATTCTCAGTTTTCGTGATCGAAGTCCCTTACAGATAGGACGGAAACAAAATAACATGTTAACATTCTGAAGCCAGTAATGATGAATACGACATTAAGAGGAATGGAGGTTAATAATGACATTGTCTCCGTTTTATAATTAAGAAGTATTTTTCTCAAGGAACCTTTCAGGCATTACGAACATGGTTAGTGATTTTTTCAAAGACCTAAGAGTTGCGTATTTTTGGGTTTTAGGATTTTATAAATAGTGAGCATAATCACGTTAGTTTTCGAGTCAGAAAAAATGTTTTGGCAAATTTTTAGTTTATTACAGAAGTTAATTTATTATTTTTTTAAATCCAAAATGAATAGTTTTCTTGTTGAAAGTAGCGTGGTAATCAGTCAAATCACTATGAAATCCTTGAAAGTATCCAACATCATTCATTGTTTCATAATTGACGCTGATAGTCAGATTGTCAGTGTTTGTTATCGCCAACATATGGCATAAGAAGAAGGAAAAGAAGATTTTGAAGAATCAAAGAAACTAGGATCGTAAGGAGCTGCACCTCACCGTACTGAAAATAACAATGAAAAAATTAATCATATCGATATCCGTTTTCCTAAATATTGTTGTTTCTTCTATTAATATATCAGATTATAGAAGCGTGGATTCGATATATTACAATATACCGGAAAGTTAAAATGTAATCTCATTTACCACACTTGTATTCGATTAAAGAAGGAATGTTTTTTTACATAAATTTGTTTTTGCTTCGGCATTTTGGAATGAGGCTCAATTCTTTGTATGTTACGTATCATCAAATAAACCTTTCACTGTTCAATTCGTTTATCTTCGATCTTTATTTACTTTTATTACATCCTACAATAAATAAGCTAGCAGGGTAATTTTTTTAATGTATTCCCCCTATCGGAATTGGCACCTCCGTTCATTTTGCGGTGTCGCTGTTTTGGTATTTTGAAAACATTTGCCACTTGTCCGATAAGGCGCTCCAAAATTCAGTGTTGTAATTTCTGTTATGTGTATCAAATCTATATTCCTGGCGTATAATAAATTGATTATTTGAATTGCTTTGATATTACAAGAGTTTTCCTTCTTTTCCGTTCTGTCACTTCAGTGGGAATTCTAAAGTGCTACAGATAAAAGAAATACTGCTTTTCACGTACATCGATGAGTGGTTGAGGGAAACGAATGTGAATATTACAAAATATAATTGATGAAATGTATATTGAAAGAAACCATATAAAGTCATCAGCACATAATTTTCTTCCGTGAAATCGTGAATCGATACGAATGTTTATTGTATCAATACTTAAGTTTCGCCGAGATCGACGTGTGTGTATTCCGTTGTACGCACCGATTCCAAAGTGGTATCGAGAGTGTGTTCGAGAGCGGAGCCGGGCCCGCCGGCCTGCACGGCCCGAGGTGCAGCTGCAAGCGGCGAGCAGGGCCTTGCGAAACAAGTGTGATGGGCGGCTGGAAAGCGGCAGCGCTGGTTTGTGTGTCGCCCACGAGACCCACTTGAGCGTTCTTCTTGGAGTGGCTCGTCACGGTGCACTCTGCGCTGGGTTTCCCTCGAGTGCAGGTTCTCTTCATTAAGGTGCATCCACGGAGCTGCTTTGTGCCTCGTCCTCGGTCTTTTGTTTCAAACGCCGTGCACTCTCGCTGGTCTAATGTACACACGATTGGTCACCGACGTAGAAAGAATTTTCTGTTTGACCTAGGCTCAATTCCATCTCGATTCGAACGACAATGGAACAATGAATCTTCAAAACTACTCCAGGAATATTTTAGGGATAAATGTGCAATTATACGTGTCGTGGAGCGTGAATTATTGCTTTTTTTTAATTTAGATTAAATTTTAACCAGAATATTTGATATATGGATTAGAAAAATTATTTTTGAAATTTTCTAAAATAAGAAATAACTAAATATACCAAAAAATAGGGGGTAGTCAGTCGTGATTTTTCGAGAATGAAGATAGGAATAAGACATAAAGTTACTAAACAAGATGAATTACAATTATGGTTTCCATTTTTTACTCTTTTCGTGTTTATTTTCATCTGATGTTTATTTGAATGACGAGAAGGGAAAGGAAAATAAAATCTGTACTTTTGGTACATCTAATGACGAATAACGATCGACTTAACGTTGCATCTTAAATGCTACAAATGCGACATTCTGTATCATCATTGCGCTTCTTCCCCCTTATTTTCCAAAATCCATAAAATGCCAGAAATCCATAAAATTGACCATCTCTGGAGATTCAGGATAATAAAACTCTAAGATAGATAGACAAGAATATTATTGCCGATCCGGTGGCCGAGATCGCTAAGGCAGTAGTCCCGTAGCGACCTCGGACCGAAGGATCGCGGGTTCGAGTCCCGCCTCGGGCATGGTTGTATTGTGTTTCGTCCTTTCACCCCCCTATCATCATCATTATCGTGTCAACCCACAGTTACCATACCGTTACAAGCAATAGTGGTCGCTAATGACCTAGTAGTTGATGCGACCTTAAAGAAAAAATAAATAATAATAAAAAAGAATATTAGGAACTTGTCTGTACTATCACTAACTAAAAACTGCGTGTCGTTAAAAACTCTGTGTCTTAATTTAATTTACAATATAAATAGCCAATAAATCTGTTTTTAGAGGTAATACATTTAAAAAAATTGCCTCCTTAGTCCTTTATGAAATTGAGCTCATCAACAATGGTGTGTTTTGGTGATATGTACTGTGAGGTATATTTGTATAAACGTACTGGTGTGATTTGGCACAAGTGTATTATATATCAATCAAAATTTCGTTTTCAGCACTTTCCTTGGACACACTTTGTAACACTCTGCATGTCCCTCTCGCAATACAGTTAAACTTACAGATTTACGGAAAACAATTAAGATATATTAAAGTGTAACGGAACGATATTTATTGCAGCTGTGCTAATGACTGGTAAAAGCCACCCACAGAACAGACCGCATTGAATGTGAATGACGCGGCAGATTCTGTGGGAAGGCACCCGAGACGACCTATCACTTTCCTTATTCTCGCGAATCATTGGATTGGAGAAGATTTAATTACTACTCCCCAGGTCCAGATAATTGGAATAAAAAACTATTTCAATTATTTTAGTTCAGAACTGATAATTGGTCTGGTAGTACAGTACGACTTAATTGCGGCCGTGCATAACATGTCACTGGAATAATATCATTAATAGAGCTTTTGCAGGGCGAATGATAAAATGAACAATTGAACAAAAGAACAAGTACGGGACCTGCATTCTTCGAAATCTTCAAAACAAACTTAGTGCCAAATGCTCTTTAGACTTCAAAAGATACGGGTCACGCAAAAACCCTATTAATGATATTGTTGCGATGACATGTAATGCACGGTCGCAATTACGTCGCACTATACTACCCGACCTACCAACCAACCGTTCTGAACTACAAATTTTGAAATAACGTATATTCCCATTATCTGGACTTGCGAAGTATTTCCCCGAGCCAAGGACTCGCGAGAGTACGGGAAGTGGCAGGTCGTGTTGGGCGCCTTCCCGCAGGGTCTGCCGCGTCGTGGGCCCCCAGTGCGAGTTCGGTCCGTTCTGAAGGCGGGCCTCATTGTCCCTTTTTCATGTACCAATCGTAGCAAATTACAGGACGAGAACGGGGCACAGTTACTGTTCGTAACTGTTCGGTACTTTCAGCTTTTAAATTAAATGCCCTGGATATTCTACTGAATGAATCTTGCGTATGACAAGACTGTTAGGACTAAAGACTATCTTAGGTCTAAAACAAATCGTAAATGCTTTTTCCAACTCTACATAGTAAGCAATTATTTCCACATGTATTCCCTTTGCGTAAGAATGGGACAGATCACTTAAATTATTTTTTCCTTAAACAGTCACAAATACATAATTTCGTACGTTTGTCACGTAACCTTAATAATTAGAACACTCGGGTATTTTTTTCTTTTTGGACAATCAAAGAACAAAGTTTTCAAAAAATGTTTTATTTCTCACATATAACGCCACGTGTTACGAAATATTTTACGCATCAATAGATGTGAAAAAATTCATACATTTGTCTGAAAATGTAAACAAATGTTGATGTTATTCTTAGTATGAAAACATTAAAAATAAAATGTCACAATTAAGGGATGAAATTGTAGAATAAAATAAGTATAACTTCAAAATATATGTAGTATGTACAAAATATATAATTAGGCGAGAGAGAGCTTACCAAAACTTGATAAGATAGTTCAAACAATTAAAAGAAATGATAAAAAAGAATAAAATGAAAATGCACACTTTTTGTGTATTTTGTGTGAGGCGGCGCTGGAACTAAGGCCCCTGCAGAAGGAGCAGCACAGCACCTTCTCGAGACTTATGACCATAGCAGTTGACGTGCCGGGAAGTATCAAAAACCGATGTATCGTCTTCCCAACAGATCGTTACGCATGGGCCTCGATGAACCCGGGTCCTTGAAGGACAAGTGCGTGCCTTGTCCTCGTCACGAGCCTCGCCAGCCAGTGCCTCAGCCGCTGCTTGCATCACGCGAAGTAGTTCGGGTCAGTCGATCCAAACGAAGCCTTTCCACCCACCGCGGAATCTCCTCTTCCGCCAGCACTCAATCTCGCAATATTTTAAGAAAGAAAGCAGATATTTCGCTTTCTCACTCTAGTTGGCTGTGTGTTGGTATTTAGAAGCGTACTAGTTGAAATATCAGAGCGCGTTGTGTTTTAGGGTTTCCAATCGCGGTCAAGTGGATTTTATGGCTGGCGAAACTGCCTGCTGCGGGTTTTCTCTCCGGTTTTCCCTGCACACGTTCGAACATTTTATTAGGTTGTAAGAAATTAATTTGTCAACTACGAGAATGTTAGAGGCTCCCGCTCAATGAACTCCAAACGTCTTAAAATCTTCGGATTATCGAATTTTGGCAATGAAATGGAAATTAGTAGTAATCATGTTCCTTCTAAGTGAGCTTAATAAAATAAAATTTCATTTGTAGATAAAGAGTAATTACAAAGGAAATGTGTGCCCCAATAAATGATAATGTACCCAGACTTTTTATCAGTTGATAATAGATAATAAATAAATGTACAATCATCTGTAGACTTTTTCGAGAATAGCTTTGATGAACGAATTATAACTTGTGTTCGATTATAAAATGTGTTCGGTTATCAAATACCTAGAAAACAATAACGTAGAGTTTTAAAAATGGGCGCAAGTTTCACTACAGGTCCTAAAATATGGAACGGTATTCTCTTCTTGCATATTTTGAATGAAAATATTCTAAATGTTTCTGAAATGTAAATCACGAATGATATACCATCTGGTTCCATGAATGAAATGATTCCTATACTACTTCTGATTCTCGTTTCGAGACGCTTGCAATGTTGTGGCTTCCCGCCTTCTAATAATCTCCCACCCGTTGTAACGCGCGCAAAGGCGCCCTCCGGGGGCGTTGTGCCGTTGCTGGGCGCTCACTGTGGAGGAGGCGGCCGAGCGCGTGGCTCAAACGGGGCCTCACCGAAGCCGAGAGCAGTGGGGATAACGGAAGCACACGGCGCCTTTCGGGATCGATGCTGCACATTATTTGCTGCAGGGAATCGGTTAAAATTAATTTCTAATTACACGGGCCAACGATCTAAAAACCTAATTCGTATCGTTTTGAGTGTTCTGATTGCAAAAATAACATTAAATATGCCATATCCTCTACTGTTTTTTCACATTTTAACTTTTTTCTTAGAAGAGCAGGCAAATTCTGCTCCGAGTCTCTAGAAACGTCTGAAACTTAAGAAATTATTTCAGTTCTGGAGTAGTATAGGCTTCAGGAACATATTTTTACATTGTGATCTCTTCCACAACCGTGCATCGATACATTTACAGCCAGAGTTGCATTTGACAAGCAGTGCGAGAAAAGAAACGTCAATAGCCACGAAAAGCCTTTGTAGAATGTAACGATAAGAATATTTAAACGTAGGAGATGGCTTTATAAAGTTCTTTTGGTATTTTAAAAGTTGCTTACCTTTCATTTTTATTGCATATTTAGCATATTTTCTCAGATCATCCTAGATAAATTTGCGACTATACTGTGGGTGATGGAAACTAACGGAGCTCACAAGTGCATTCAGCATCCAAAAGCTATAAAAATCGCCTATGAAGATTTGAAAATGTTTCTGAATCCCTTTTATATTGTCTTGTGTTATTTATGTTCCAGAGAAGAGCATGTAGAAAAAATTTTAAATACAATTGTTAATGTACGTGTAAATACATTATTTGGCTTGTATACCATTATAATAACTGCATTTTGAGGAAAATTACGCTTTTCAATACAACCACGATACTACGAGATTATTTCTAATGACTGGAGAATAAGTAGCTTACGAGAAGATGTCCATCTTCTCTTGTAGAAACGCAAACCTAATCATTTCATAGCCATTATTCGTTTTAAATCCCTTTCGGAATATTATAATTTATACCTCAATCGTTTATTTTATTTTATTTATTTTATTTCGCCATTCTATTAAATAACTATTTTCTTGTGTAGTTCCTAATTTTGAAAGCATCGAAATACGAGGGTGGTTCCAAATGTATCAGCAAACTGAATATTTCTGAAATATCGTATACTCCAACAAGATTCATAAAAAGTTTTTTTTTTCGTTTCTCGCAAACTTCCTTTGCGTCTCCCAAAATCCAGCGAGGGAAGATCACTGCCATCTCCAGAGAGAGAGAGAGAGAGGGAGAGAGAGAGAGAGAGAGAGAGAGAGAGAAACGTGTACGATACTTACGGTACTAATGACTTTTAGTAGTTGAGGGACCGGGAATCAATGGAAATCAATGAATGAATGAATGAATGGAAATGCAGATAGCAGCCACACTCGCCCCGTGAGGGTAGTTGGTGCGGCAAAGCCGTGCCCGCGAGGACCGGACCGTAGGGGCAGACGGTGAGGCACCCGAGAGCTGAGCAGCGTCAGTCCTTTCCATTGCTGCTTGAATGGGGTTCCCA